ACCGGATTCACGGGATCCGCTGACAATGACTTTCGCATCACATCTGAGACAATGAAATTCACAATTAATTAAATCTCCAAAAACATAATCAGCAAAAAAAAAAACACTATAATTACGGCTCAGTCTGTTGTCCGGTTGCGTAAAACTCAACACCCGTTTCAGAGTAGTCTGTCTTATGACACAGCACTGGGCGAGTGGAGCCAAAATGGACAGTTCATCATGGTAGGGCTGACCAAAGCTAGACAAAATAACGTCAATTGGTTTAATGAGAAAACTACTTTATGTCAAATTAGACTTGCAACTTTTCCTAATTTTCAATTCCCTTCCCTTCCCTCTTCCCTTCAGTCATGAAAAGAGGGAATCCCTTTCCCTTCATTTGCAGGGAAGAGGGAATCCCTTTCCCTTCCCTTCATTTCCCTTTTCCCTTCACATTCCCTTCAAATACTGTGCATTGCGTTTATAATACACTGAAATGTTATATAAAGCAAAATATACTGCTTTATAGACAATAATATACAGTTTCTATACATTCATTGAACAAATTTGGCACAGAAAAACACTACGTTATCTGTAATTAGGTTTCATTTTAAGAGGGATTCCCTCTTGCAAGTCTATGTCAAATGAAATAGTAAAACAATAGCTAATAAAAATGAGTGCCAAATACCCTCTGCCGTGATCTAAATGCAATGGAAACGTATTGTTGCCAAAGTGTTTGAACATAAAAACACCCAAGTTTATTAAAATCGGTCTACTGATGCCTGATCTACACCTGATTAAGATATTGTAGTCATATAATGGTTTTCAATGGAAAAACACAGTACGGACATATATATGGGACAGTCTTTACAGTTTCTATACATTCATTGAACAAATTTGACAGAAAAACACTACGTTATCTGTAATTAGGTTTCATTTTAAGAGGGATTCCCTTCATTTTCCCTTTCCCTCTGAGGGAAATGAAGGGAAATTTTGTTGAAGGGATTCCCTCTATGTGTGAGAGGGATTCCCTTTCCCTTCCCTTCAACTCATTTTCAATTCCCTTTCCCTTCATTTCCCTCAGAGGGAAAGGGAAAATGAAGGGAATCCCTTCATGAAGGGATTCCCTCTTGCAAGTCTATGTCAAATGAAATAGTAAAACAATAGCTAATAAAAATGAGTGCCAAATACCCTCTGCCGTGATCTAAATGCAATGGAAACGTATTGTTGCCAAAGTGTTTGAACGTCTCGTAATGGTGTCGATCCATATTACCGATGAAGAAGTCAAGTATCGCCATATCCATGATGTCCAACAGTCGTCGGCCCTCATTGTACGGCGCGGTAGTCTTCACCACTTTATCACAATACGTCGGATCCGTTTCCCAAACGGCTTTCCGCCGCTTGTGATAAGAGCGTCGGTACGGATGTCTCCATATCTGGCGATACCATTAGTACAGCATATTTTGTAGCGTTAGTTAATGTACTTTTTGTATATCATAACAAATTGTGTTATCATAAAAGTCTTATGTTATGTCATATAAAATTCTTATATTCTATTCCCTAAACAATTTTATCAATCTCTCTCTCTCTCTCTCTCTCTCTCTCTCTCTCTCTCAACAGTAATATATATTTAGAGTAAATGAATGCTTCAAAACCTGATGTTATTTAATGTAATGGCAAAAAACAGTGAATGAAAAGTAAGAAAAATATCTCATTATTTGCTGAGAAGAATTATTTTTCCAAAAATATTTTAAAGTCCTATAAAAATCATTTTTCTTTTAATATTACTCTCTGTTATAGATTTGCTGAATAAGTAAAGAAAAATATTCTTCAAAACTATATCATCTCTCAATGGCAATAGAAATATGTACGGAAAACTCATTTCCAAATGGTATAATCATTTGTAGTTGTGTTAGATATCTAACTAACAAAAAACATTGTTTATTGTGTCCCAAAAAACCTATCCTTTAGCCAAC